TAGAGCATGCGGAACTGAAGTCCTCTAGGGTCTGGGCCAGGGCTGGTGCCCCCTGCAGGTTGAGGCCTTGGAGTGAGACTTTGGGATGAGCAGCAGCCTGGAGTCAGGCCCCAGTGCAAGTGGTTCAGCCCTTCTTCCCTTCCCAGAGATTGGGGCTTTGCAGGAGGACTAGCAGGCAGGGAGAGGGAGGGAGGCCTGCCTGCAGGAAGAGGAGGAGCCCACTGGAGAGGGAAACTGGGATAGGCCAGATGAAGGCAAGAAGTGGCAGTGGCCCCAGGAGGAGCCTTCTCTGAGTAGGTGTGATTGACAGGGCCTTCCTGGCACCAGAGCAAGGCGTGGTGGTGCCTCCCTTGTGGGTGGGTCTCCCTGTCCTCAACCATCTTCCTGAGGAGGCTATTGACTGGGTCTGCCCAGGCCCTCCCTGAGGCTTTGCCTCTACCCTGCCTCCAGCTGTGTCCATCTCTCTGTCTCCAGCTCCCACAACCACCTGCACTCCCCTGCCCTTACCCTGTCTCTCCCCACTGTGCTGTGAGCCCAGGTCCAGCTGGGCTCTTCTAGCACCCCAAGCCCAGGTGTCCGTTGTGCCAAGGGCCATGTTTGGCAGGCACTCACTTGGCTGAGGGGCTCCTAGCTTCATAGGAGCAGGGATCAGGGGCCTCCATCCAGGCGGCCAACGACCCTGCCTCTGCCCAAGTGACTTTCCTGTTCTGCAGGCCCTTCCCGTGGTGTCCTCCTCCTGAAAAAGGACAGCTGTGGCTGGGGGGGGGGGGGGCGGCTCCTTTCCAACTGCTCTACTCAAGGGATTGAGGATCATGCAGTCTCCCAAGAATTCTGTATCCAGCAAAACTGCCCTTCAGCAGTGAGGGATACACTAGGAAATTCCCAGCTGAGCAAAACCTGAGCGTTCATCACCACCTTCCCTGCAAGAAATGCTCACAGGATCCCTGAAAAGAAAGGATACCAGACAAGAACCTGAAATGCTAGGAAGAGTAAAGATCTAAGTGAAGGCGAATATGAGGGCAGCGATAAAAGCCAGCATTGTAGCAAAGGTTTCTAACTCCATATTCAGTATTCTATACAATTTAAAAGACAAATACACTCTTAAAAACTATCTATCTGAAAGCTAGTAGTATTATGACTTTGGTTTGTTAATTCCACATTTTGTTTTCTATATAACTTAATAGGTATTTAGAAGAATATTAGCTATTTTATATTAGGTATTTAGAAGAATATTAGGACACATTGGCCGGCGCTGCAGCTCACTAGGCTAATCCTCCGCCTGCGGCACCGGTACTCCAGGTTCTAGTCCCGGTTGTGGCACTGGTCTGTCCCGGTTGCTCCTCTTCCAGTCCAGCTCTCTGCTGTGGCCCGGGAAGGCAGTGGAGGATGGCCCAAGTACTTGGGCCCTGCACCCGCATGGGAGACCAGGAGGAACCACCTGGCTCCTGGCTTTGGATCGGCACAACACCGGCTGTGGTGGCCATTTGGGGAGTGAACCAATGGAAGGAAGACCTTTCTCTCTGTCTCTCTCTCTAACTCTGCCTGTCCAAAAAAAAAAAAAAAAAAAAAAAAGACACATGGTATATAGAGATGTAATTCTGTGACATTACAATGACAGAGGTGTGGACATAGCTGTGCGGGAGCAAGGTCCTGTGTGTTATTGAGGCTGAGCTGTTGCAGACACAGATCAGGGTGTGACAGCTTTCAGACGTTAAAGCTGATCCCCAGGGTAATCACGAAGAAAATAGCCATAAATATATACAAATGGGAATGAGAAATTTAAACATTCACTAAGAAAAAATAAATTAAATGGAAAAAAAGACAATAGTGCAGGAAAAAAAGAGCTATAAGGCATATAGAAAACAAATAGCAAGTGACAGAATTAAATCCCTTATCCATATTGCTTTTTTATATTTATTTATTTATTTGAAAGGCAGAATGTGTGTGAGAGAGAGGAGGAGAGAGAGAGAGAGAGAGAATTATTCATTTCACTGTTTCACTCCCCAAATGGCCACAGTACCAAGGTCTGGGAAAAGCCAAAGCCAAGACCCAGGAACTCCATCTGTGTCTGCCACATGGGTGGCAGGGAACTTAGCACTCGGGCCATCTTCCACTGCCTTTCCAGGTGCATTAGCAGGCAGCTGGATCAGAAGCAGAAGGGCAGGATTCAAACCAGATATTCATATATCAGTATTCCAACATCACAAACACTGGCTTAACCCTCTATGCAACAACACTAATTCCCAGTAATTATTTTTTTAAGATTTTTTTTTTTATTTATTTGAAAGGCAGAGTTACAGAGAGAAGTAGAGTCAGAGAGAGGCCTTCCATTTGCTGGTTCACTCCCCAGATGCCACAATGGCCAGAACTGTGCCGATCCAAAGCCAAGAGCCAGGAGCTTCTTCAGGGTCTCCCACATGAGTGCAGGGGCCCAAGGACTTGGGCCATATTCTACTGCTATCCCAGGCCATAGCAGAGAGCTGGATTGGAAAAGGATCAGCCGGGACTAGAACCAGCAGCCATATGGGATGCCGGCACTTCAGGCCAGGGCTTTAACCCACTGCGCCACAGTGCCGCACCCCCCCCCCCCCCCCCCGTAATTACTTTAAATGTAAGCAAGTTAGGCTCTCCAACCAAAAAAGAAAAAAACAGAGATTGGAAGAATGGATAAAAGTGCTTTATCCAACTGTGTGTTGTCTACAAAGCCTCTCTTTAGATCCAAAGACCAAAGAAAAAAGATTGAAAATGAAAGTATGGAAAAAAATATTTATGCAAATTATAGCCAAAAGAGAGCAGCAGTTCCTGCTATGCAAATATCCATAGACTTAAAATCAACAAAGCTTACAAGAGATAAAAAGGACATTGTACATCAATAAAGTATCCATACAACAAGAAAACACATTAGGTAAAATATTTATGAGCTTAATCAAAGACCATCGAAATATAGAAAGTGAAACCTGACAGTTCTAAAATGGTTGGAGACCAATACCGCAGTCTCCATAGTGGGCAGAATAACCAAGACAGGAGCTAAGTTAGGAAACAGAGGACTTAACATAATAAACCAACTGATCTAATGGATGTACATAGACCCTTACTCAACACAGCACACATCCATTTCCCATGGGACATTTCCCAAGATAGACCATATGATAGGTCACCACTAAGTCTCAATGGATGAAAAAGACAGACACCATCTGTTCACCATGGGGTGAAGTTAGGAATCACTATCAGAGGGAAAACTGGAGAAACCAAAAATTGTGGGAATTAAAACAATACACCCCTTTTAAATGAAGTAGATACTCTTATTAGCTACGTCTTACTCTTTTTAATCTATTTTTTTTTTACAGGCAGAGTGGACAGTGAGAGAGACAGAGAGAAAGGTCTTCCTTTTGCCGTTGGTTCACCCTCCAATGGCTGCCGCGGCCGGCGCACCGCGGCCGGCGCGCTGCAGCCGGCGCACCACACTGATCTGATGGCAGGAGCCACGTGCTTCTCCTGATCTCCCATGGGGTGCAGGGCCCAAGTACTCTGGCCATCCTCCACTGCACTCCCTGGCCACAGCAGAGAGCTGGCCTGGAAGACTGGAAGAGGGGCAACCGGGACAGAATCCGGCGCCCCGAGAGGGACTAGAACCCGGTGTGCTGGCGCCGCAAGGGGGAGGATTAGCCTAGTGAGCTGTGGCGCTGGCCTCTTTTTAATCTAGAAACCTTTTATTTAAGGTATACAAACTTCATGTATTACATATATACAAATTTAGGAACCTAGTGATTCTTCCTACCCTACCCTCCCTCCCACCTGCACTCTCACCCTTCTTCCTCCTCCCTCTCCTATTCCTATTATTTTTACAAAGATCTATTTTTAAGTTTATACTCATAGGATTAACCTACACTAAGTAAAGAGTTCAATAAATAGCATGAAAAAAAAAAAGCACCTGCTCCTCAACAGTCAAGACAAAGGCTGTTTGAAATCATTGCATTTCAAAATGTCAATTTCACTTCTATAGATTACCTTTTAGGTGCTCTATTAGTTACCACAGATCAGAGAGAAAATACTGTATTTGTTGTTTTGGGACTGGTTCATTTCACTAAGTATAATGGTTTCCAGTCGCATACATTTGTGGCAAATGACAGGATTTCATTTTTTTATATTCATATTTTTTATGTATGGTATACATATACCATAATTTCTTTATCCAGTCTTCAATTGATGGACACCTGGGTTGACTGCCTATCTTAGCTATTGTGAATTGAGCTGCAATAGCTAATGTCTTTGCCCTTGGGTAAATTCCCAGGAGTGGAATGTCTGGGTCATATGGTAGGTCTGTATTCAGATTTCTGAGGTATTTCCATCCTGTCTTCCACAGTGACTGTACCAGATTACATTCCCACCAACAGTGGATTAAGGTACCCTTTTCCTAACATCCTCACTAGCATTTGTTGTTTGTCGATTTCTGTATGAAAGCCATTCTAATGGGGGTGTGGTGAAACCTCATTGCGGTTTTGATTTGCATTCCCCTGACAGCTTGTGATCCTGAGCATTTTTTCATGTGTCTGTTGGCCATTTGGATTTCCTCTCTTGAAAAATGCCTGTTCAAGGGGGTTCTAAGATAGCAGAATAGCGACAGGGCAGTCTACGCTAGGCTAGGTGGGAATAGTAGAAAAAAAAAGTGGAGAACGTGCTCTCTCTGGGGGAAAGTTGCAGGGAAAATTGAAGTGGAGATTCTGTGGAAGCAGTGGAGACTCCATGGACCTGTATGGAAGGTGCAGACAGGCAGCAGTGAGCACAGACAGAACAAATGACCCCAGCAGCCCTGATCCAGGGAGAGTGCCTGCTCTGGCGAGCAACGTGAGCTCAAACTGCGCAGGCCTGCACCACTGTTGCACAGCTGGATGGAGCTCTCCACCTTGTCAGTGGACAACAGCAGCAGCTCCACTGTGCCCACCAGCAGCGGGTGGGGTGGGGGAGCCATTCTGATGGAAGTGCCACCTGCATGGACTCTTTTTTTTATTTTATTTTTTTTTTATTTACTCCTGCCAAAGTTCGTTTGTAAGTTAAACTTGCATGAAGGCTGATGAGGGGAAGGGAGGCATTGGCTGCACAGGGAATTCTGGCTCCTTTTCAGATTAATTCTTTTCTTCATCCAGAGTATTCCTTATGGGAAGCCAATGATTTGGGATCTAGAAATCAAGGGAGAAATAAAGCACATGATATTGACTACAACATATCTGTGTATATGTGTTTCCTTCCTATGTGTATACATATCTTAAGATTTGCATAATAGTTGAGTCATATCACTTTGTGTTTTAGATTTCTCACTGAAGTTCACAATGATTTCATTATTGACCCAAGTTTATGTAATTAGGCTTACAGATGCACAAAAATATAGAAACAGGGGCAGGCATTTGGTGTCGCACCTAAGATGCTGCTTGGGATGCCCACATCCCATCACTGGGTTTAAGTCCTGGTCCCACTCCTAATTCTAGCTTCCTGTTAATGCACACTCTGAAAGGCAGCAGGTGATGGATCAAGTACTTAGATGCTTGCTGCCCACAAGGGAGACCCAGCTTGAGTTCCCGGCTCCTGGCTTTGGCCTGGCCCAGTCTGGTCTGTTGGAAGCATTTGAGGAGTGATCCTGCAACTGGGAGATGTCTGGTTCTCTGTTTCTCTCTCTCTCTCTCTCTCTCTCTCTCTCTCTCTCTCTCTCTCTCTCTCTCTCCTGTTCAGTAAATAAAATTATACAGATGCAGAGTAAATATATCAACAGTGGGGGCACTAAAGGAGAAAAGGCACATTTTTTACACAGAATTTCTCCAGCCTTTTTTTTTTTTTCTTTTTGAGGGAGAGGGAGACAGAGAGGCCTCCCATCTGCTGGTTCACTCTACATATGGCTGCTGGGCTGATCCAAAGCTAGGAGCTTCTTCCAGGTTTCCCACGTGGGTGCAGGGGCCCAAGCACTTGGGCCACCCTCTGCCGCTTTTCCAGGGGCATTAACAGGGAGGTGGATGGGAAGTGGAGCAGCTGGGACTCGAACCAGCGCCCACATGGGATGCTGGCACTGCAGGTGGTGGTTTAACCTATTATACCACAGCACAAACCCTCTCAGACTTTTTGAAGACCAATACCAACACATTAAATTTTTTAGAAAACCTTACTATATGTATTGGGTAAAAACAATCTATTGAAAACCTTTCATTTTGCTACATATTCTACTAAATTCTACTTTCAGTATTTTAATATTTCACCGATATACATCTGTGTCTTACATTTTCGGTAACAGGTTTCTGCAGAAGTTTCAGTGATGTGTTGGAATGTGTTAAATGGGTCTCAGGGAGCAGAGTTTCCCCTGCTCCCAGCGTGTACTGCTCTCTAGTTAAAGGCCTTGCCAAGTTCATGTCAATGACTCACTTGTCCAGCAGGAATGATCTGACCTTACGAGAAAACCTCACCTGCCTGACAAAGATGCACGGACTTCACTGTAGCGTGGGGATGGCTCACTCTTCGTGTTCTTGAGCACAGCAAGGCTGGAGCCCAGGCTCATTCCATGGAGGTTGCAGGGCTTGGGCTTCTGTCCAGGGTGAGTTGTCTGGTGGTTTAGAAGATAGTGAGAGGGACCGGTGCTGTGGCATAGCTGGTAAAGTCACTGCTTGCCATGCCAGCATCCTACATGGGTGCCAGTTTGAAACCCAGCGGCTCCACTTCTGATCCAACTCTCTGCTATGGCCTGGGAAAGCAGCAGATGATGGCCAAGTGCACCTGTGTGGGAGACCTGGAAGAAGCCCCTGCTCCTGGCTTCAGATCAGCCCAGTTGCAGCCATTTGGGGAATGACCAGCAGATGGAAAATTCTCTCTCTCTCCCTCCCTTTCTCCCTCTCTCCCTCTCCCCCCCTCCGCCTCTGCCTCTCTAACTCTGCCTTTCAAATAAATAAATCTTAAATAAATAAATAAAAGCAGTGACAGCAGGGGCTAGTGTTATGATGCACTGGGTTAAGCTGCAACCCCTGGGGGCCCTGTTTCAAGTCCCAGCTGTTCCATTTCCAATCCAGTTCCCTGCTATGGCCTGGGAAAGCAGAAGATGGTCCCAAGTGCTTGGGGCCCTGCACCCACATGGGAGATTCAGATGGAGTTCCTTGCCCAGCCCTAGCCAGTGAGGTCATTTGAGGAGTGAACCAGTGATAGGAAGATATCTCTCCCTCCCCCCTGCTTTCCCCTCTCCATCTAGAATTCTGTGTTTCAAATAAATAAATAAATATATTCTAAAAAGCAGGCATGCACCAGGTCTAACCACATTGACTGCAGCCTGGATCTCATGTTGAACGGCACTCTGGAAAGTTCATGGAAACAGAATTGGAAGATAAGCTTATTTTAGTACCAAAAAAAAAAAAATGCTTGGTCTTTTCATAAAATGCTTTTTCCATGAGTTGTTTGAAGACTTGCAACTGTCCCCATCTTGTTTGCTGGCTCCAAGTTTTTATTTTTCTTTATTTTTTTTTTAAAAAAGATTTATTTATTTATTTGAAAGGTAGAGTTACAGAGAGGCAGAGAGAGAGGGAGGTCTTCCATCCGCTGGTTCATTCCCCAGATGGCTGCAATGGCTGGAGTTGTGCAGATCTGAAGCCAGAAGCCAGGAGCCTCCTCCGGTCTCCCACATGAGTGTAGGGGCCCAAGGACTTGAGCCATCTTCTACTGCTATCCCAGGCCACAGCAGAGAGCTGGATCAGAAGTGGGGTAGCTAGGACTCAAACTGGTTCCTATATGGGATGCCAGCAACTGCAGGCAGCAGCCCTACATACTACGCCACAGCGCTGGCCCTGTGGCTCCAAATTTTTAAAAAGGAAAAGGGAGTGAGCATTGGGCACAGTGTTTAAGATGCTCCCATCTCTTGTCAGAGCATCTGGTGCTAGTTCCGGCCCTGCTTCCAGTCCCAGCCTCCTGTTACTGTGGGCCCCAGGAGGCAGCACACCATGGCTCAAGCACTTGCGTTCCTGCCACCCAGTGGGAGTCCAGGATTGAGCTCCTGGTTCCTGGCTTCTGCACCGCCCCAGCTGGTGCAGCCATTTGGAAAGTGAACCAGCAGATGAAGTAACTCTGTCTCTTTGCCTTTTGAATAAATAAATATTTTGATTAAAAATAAGTAAAATAAAACATTAAAGGAAGAGAAAGGAAGAATAAAAAAGGGAGAGGGTGAGGAGGGAGGGAGGAAGGAAAAACCAGCTGAGGTCACATACAGGTGCGGGAGGCTGCAAGCTGTGCACCAGCAGGGGGCGACATTCCCCTGGCTTGCAAAGGTGATGGCACTTCCTGGAACTGTGCACTGTAGGTGCCTGACCTCAGGTACCTCCAGATGGTCACCATCCTGGTCCAGAACCCAGGTGGGCAGAAATGGTCCACTTGGTTCCACACCACTCCCTGCCACCCACGCGAGAGACCCAAATTCTGGGGCTCTTGACTTCAGCCTGGCCCAGCCCCAGCTGTTGCAGGTATTTGGGAAGTTATGGAAGATTGATTCCATGGCAGATGGAATGTTGATTCATTCTCTCTCTCTCTCTCTGCCTTTCAAGTGAAGTGAAAATAAATAATAAATACATTTAAAAATCGGGGTCTCCATTTGCTGCGTTCTCACACGTGCCTGCAGGCGGCGCCGTGCAGAGAGTGGTCAGCAGAAAGGAGCCCGCCCAGTGTGCGGGCCTGGGTCGGGCCCAGCTGCCCCTGCCCTCGGAAGCTCCGGATGGGTCTTGGCGCGGTGGGCTGCGGCCCATCCCGTGCCCCGCGAGGCCGTGCGGTCTACGCCCCCTGATTCCCACCCTCGCCTACTGCCTCTTCCCAACACAGCTCTCCGGCTTCACGGCGGCGCTGCGGGGCCGTTCGGGGCGGGGGAGGGCGGGGGACGTGTGTCAGAAGGACCAAGGGCCCGGGCGAGGACGCCGACCCGACCTCCGGGAGAGTCCAGGAGCCAACGCGTGGAGGAGCCCTTGCGACCACCCCCGTACCGCCCTGGCGACTAGGAACCGGAGGCCCCGGGGCAAGCAGTGGAGACGGGGTGCACAGGGTCTGCGTCCTCTAGGTCAGGGCTCCTGGACGAGCCCAGCAACCGCCGGGCCCGAGGGCGGGCGGCTCTGGGCCTCAGCTCTCCCACCTGAGAACGGAGGGGCCAGGGCTGGGGCCGCCCTGGAGGATGGTGGGAGGGAGGTGAAGGAACAGGAGCCTCCCCTCGTGCCTCCTCCACCGACTCTGTCGCGCAGACGGATTCGGCACCCCGCCCGTTGGTGAGGGAGTGCCGGGCAGTGGTCATCGCGGGGGACACCTTGCAGCCGGTGAGGACACCTGTAACGGCCTCTGCGCGGGGACCCGGGCGGGAATGGATGCACCCTGAGCTCCTGCTCCTTCGTGGGCCCCAACTCCGAGGGAGGGCAGCTCGAACAGGAGCAGGTCCAGCAGCGGCCACGAGGGGGCAATGCTGCACCGTCTCGCTGCCTGGCCTGGGCGCGGGAGCTAGCAGTCGCGGCCCCGCCCTTTGCTACTTACGTGGCTGGGGACGCGTCCCATGGGGAGAGCTGTCTGCACCCTCCTGAAGGTGTTTCTGACTGCTCCCTGCCTGCACCAGCCTCGAAGCCTTTTCTCTCTTGCAAACTGAGGCTTATAAATATTACATTTTAACTAAAAAGCAAAAACGGGGAAATAGAGCATAATCTCACCAATCTGTTAGAATAGCCTATGCATCATTTTTACAGATATGCGTGCGTATTTTTAAAATAAAGATAGTAACGTCTCTACATGCTGTTACGCTTTTTTTAAAACTCAGTAACAAAATGTGTTTTTGTTTAAATCTGGTATTTTAATTTATATGAGAGGCAGAGAGAGTGAGAGAGCACTCCCATACACTGGTTCACTCCCCTCAATGGCCAAAAGCCGGGAGCAGGAACTCAACCCAGGTCTCCCATGTGGGTGGCAGGGGCCTAATTACTTCAGCCATCACCAGTGCCTCCCAGGGTGTGAATATCAGGAGCTGGAGCAGAAGCTGGGCCAGGGCATCAGACCCAGGCCTCAGGCATCTTAGCCACTGGGCAAAACGCCCAACCCTTGCAAACATGTTTCTTTGTTGGCAAATATATGATTATTCCACCGTATCCTGGCCATGCTGTATCCCCACGGATACACTATATAGCCACTCCTCAGGTGTTAGGTATTTAGGCTATTTCTAGTTTCTCCATTTTGAGCAATACGGTGACAGATAGAGCCAGGTCTGCACAGTGCTGATTTCCTTAGGTTGCATCCTAGCAGGTCATTCACTGGCTGGACGGCTGTTCAGAGCTCCGAGTTCCTGCCCCAGATACCTGTTGGACTCACCCCCAAGGCGGCTCTGTATAGATTTGAAGGTTCTCCATTTACCCAGAGGGTTAATGTTGTTCAAGGTCGTTACTGTTTTCAAACCTGGCTGTTGGGGCACCCTCCCTGCTGCCATTGGCCCTTGTCACAGGGCCCCATCAGTCCTTGCTCTCTGCACAAAATATCCAAGGCTCGGCTAATATGAGGATTTTTCAGAGATCTGGAAGTGTAATTAAAAATGCGTTCATTTTGTTGCAAATATTTGAATTCCAGGCCTGGGGCTTTCATGGTTCTCAGTTTCCATGATCTCTCTGAAGATGACTGCTACCTTCCTTGCTTCAGAGCTGGAGCTACTCAGTTCCCCAAGGTGCCTTGTTGTCTCTGAGTGGGAATGAGCTTTAGAAACCGTGATTTGAATGCCAGGTGCCCTGGGTTATCTCTGCTTCTGGGGCATTTTGAGGACCCACAAAATATGCAATGCACGCATAGCTTGTTCATAATACGCAATTTCCATGAAACTGGTTCTCAAAAATCTTGAGCCCATACTGATGTTTCCAAGTCAAAATCAAAGGATTTATTTGACTTGGTTCAAGTCCCGGCTGCTCCACTTCTGATCCAGATCCCTGCTAATGTGCCAGGGAAGGCAGCAGAAGATGGCCCAAGTGCTGGGGTCTCTGCACCCACGTGGGAGACCTGGATGGAGTTTTGGGCTCCTGGCTTCAACCTGGCCCAGACCTGGCTCTTGTAACAGTTTGGGGAGTGAACCAGCAGATTGAAACTAACTCTCTCTCTCTCCCTGTCTTCCTCTCTGTAACTCTGCCTTTCAAATACATAAATGAATTAATCTTTAAAAAAAAAAAGATAAGTTTGGGAGAGTTCACTTCTGACCCCTACTATCCTGCCCTCATTTTTATGAACCACTATCCTGTATTTGCAGTCATTTTGTTTATTTATTTTTTGTGTTGCAAAAATAAGCAAACATCTGAGCACACTCCAAAAAGGTCATGGAAAATGGAATTAAAGGATAAGTTTATTTTGGTGCAAAAAAGAAAAAGAAACCCATGCACAGTTTGTCCATAGTATGCAATTTCCATGGACTCTTGGAAGTACCCTCTGCAATGCATGAAATAATGTCAAATCCTGCCCCCCCCCCCCCCACCACCAAGAGTTGTACTCCCTGTGTCCCAACAATGACTCACACGGTGTCTACTGCTCCACCAAATGGACAAACTGAATCTGCCAATCTGACAGGTGAAACCCTGGAGACCTTCATTCAGTGGCTTGGGCTGGGCCCGGCCATGTGCGTTTGTTAAAACCCCCACAGCTGCTTCTCACGCACGGCCAGCACAGAGAATCCTGTGCCACATTAGCCCATATCCTTGGCTGCTCCCATGAGCAGTTTCAATGAGATGGCCCATACGCGTGTCATTAACAGTTCCCTTCTTTTTGCTGAATTGTTGGCAGTTTTTGTTTTTTACCTCCCTTTCCTGTTCCTGTGGACTTCCTGCCACCCAGCCCACATCCTCCCCTCCCTGCCAAGGCTTCTCCACACCTGCCTTCACACCCAAGCCCCTGCAAACCTCTGGGAGGTCTCCGGACACAGGTGCCAGTGCAAGCAAGTCTGCGGGATGGGTGGGGAGATCAGTGCAGAGCTTGGGTGTTTGCCTGGGGCCACCTGCCAGTCAGAAGCAGAGGCCTTGCTGTGCCAGGGACACCACCACCTGCCGCCACAGCCGCTCTCTCTTGCTGATGGACAGTGGGGCGTGGAACAGCTCCTCCCCCATCTCTGCGCCGGCATCATGGGGTCTGCAGATGTTCCTGGTGCTGAGTGCCCAGCTCCCAGGGGTCTTGGCTGCAGCACCAGCCTGGGTCAAGGAAGACATTTCCTGAGCTACAGGAGGCTAGGGGACCAGGTCAGAGAAACTCTCTCTTCCAGGCCCTGGTTCCTGAACTCTTGCGGCTTCCCAGGCCTTACAAGCCAGAGCAAAGCGCTCAGCTCCTGCTGCCCCACTAGACCCAGCCAGGCCTCCCAGCCTCCCAGCAAGGGCCCCCGCCTGGCTGCACAGGTTCGCAGTGGTGTTGGAAGAGCAGCAAGGAGCTGACGGAGCTGATAGTGTGGGAGGCCCCCAAGCCCCTCCTCGGCTTCACCCTCAGCGCAGGCTTGGTGTTCACACATGGGGAAGTATTTCAGCTTCCTCTGGGGGCAGAGCTGAGAGGACAGAGGTGGGGGATTTCAGTGCTGGGCCCTCAGCTATCCCCAAGGTATCCTCTTGGAGGACAGAAGCCTCCAGTGGGCCCTTGGTGCCTCCCAGCCCCCAGAGCCTCCAGGTGTGCGATGAGTGTGGCCCTGACACCTGTGGAGTCATCCAGGGGTTGGCACCTGCATGCCAGGGTCCTGGGTACCCAAGAAGATGGAGCTATGTTGCTGTAGCCGCTGGGAGCTGCATACCTGGCACAGGAGATCAGCTGCACACAGAGGGACGCATCTGGGACTTGAAGCTCTTGAGAGTGAGGGAGGTTGGCAGGCTTGGGGGACAGACTGTGGGGAGAGCAGGGACATGGTGAGAGGGAAGAACTGGCCGCCCACCCCATGGGCCTCCTCACTAGCCTTCTTGCTGGCACAGGCCCACTTTCCAGTGAGTGAATGACTGGGTCCCTGTGCCTTACCCTTCATTCTGGAAGCCTCGCTTAGGCCTTTCCGCATTCCCACAGTGAGGTTTCTCCCACTGCAGGGTCTACTCTGACTCACACCTGCCACGGACTCCTCCTCCGGGTCACCCCTCCAGCTCCCCTGCCCACACTGGCCATGACCCCCATCCAGAGCAGGCGTCACTTGGCACTCACCTGGCCAGAGCACATGCGTGTCCACGAGGCAGGAGAGACAAGGAGGCAGAGAGCAAGCGTCACTCATGGGGAAGGGTAGGAGGGCCTGGTGGGAGGGCAGCGGGGCCCCTCTGTCCCTGGGGTCAGAGACTCCAGCCCAGGGAATGCCAGGATTTCTCCACAGATTGACAGCCACAGGCAAGAATCTGGCCCAAAGTTCCAGAACCACCTCCAGCACCTCATGGAGTCAGCCCTGATGCCTACAGGGGCAGGGGCACAGGCAGGTGCCGGAACAGCCCAGTTCTCCCTGACATGTGGGGGGAGGCTGGCAGCACCCCAAGGAGGGAAGAGGACGGCCCATCTCCTTCCAGTCAGGGAAGTGGAACCGCCCAACCCCCAGGCTCCATATGTTGGGGCAAGGAGAGGGGTCTTGAGCACAGGCACTGTTTTAACTCACACAAGCCCCAAACGCAGCCATCCTGCACCTCTTCCAGCTGTCCGTGGTTACAGAGGCACAGCAAGTGCACAAGGAGACCCAGAACTGGAGAGGGCAGAGGCCACTCTGTCCTGGCCCTGCCGTGGAGGACAGAGCACAGGGCATGATTTCTCAGAGCGGCACACATCAAGCGTAGCGTTCGGCCCCGGCCAGTGTCTGGAGCGGGCTATTCCATGCAGGGTCTGGAAGCACACAGCACAGGGGGAGGTGAGTCCCAGGGGCCAGGGCTGTTCGAGATTCACCTCGCTTCTTTCCCTGGTGCCAGTGTCAGACTGACGCATCACGGAAAGCCTGAGCCCAGTGCATTTTGAGTCAGCATGGATTCTAACAGCATCCTGTGGATGCAGTGGGCACCAGGGCCTGGAGGAGAGCACAGGAAGAAAAAGCAGAGCCAGAAAGACAATAGGGCGCAAATGTGGTCCCCCTGCTGACACAGGGAAAAAAAATTTCTTCCAGGCTTCATCGCGCTCATTCAACACTCAGAAAACTGGGGAGTGGCATACCTGCATTTCAAACCTGGCTCCGACTCCTGACCCCAGCTTCCTGCTAATGCAGAGCCCGGGAACCAGCAGTGCTGGCTGAAATGACAGGGCCCCTGCCACTGATGTGGGAGGCCAGATTGAATTCCTGGCTCCTGGCTGTGGCCATTGCAGACATCTGGGCAGTGAACCAGCAGATGGGAGTTCCCTCTGTGTCTCACTACCTTGCAAATGAATAAATAAAATTAAAAAAAAAGAAAATTGGATACAGACCATGGGGAGGGTCCAGGTGAGCTGCATGGTGAATCACCCGAGTCATCTGAGACCAGAGAACGGAGCAGTCAACAAGGCCAGTGTACAAGAAGTGGCAGGAAGCCCACCATTTAGGTTCAAAGCACACAGAGAGTGAAAGTAAAGGCAACTGGTATACCAGCAAAGACTTAAGCTAGCTCTAAGCTCAGCTGGAGCTAAAATCATATTAATCAGCTTAGAAAAGAAATCAGATCTTAGGGTACACAGTTCATCTCCGTCCATCTCTTACCCCACTTCCTTCTCAACAGGGAACGCTCATGCTCTCTCGGAGGCACCAGAGGGAAAGCAGAGCCCTCACATTGTGAGAACAGACTCTTGTCAGCACCAGGCTCATGCAGTGCTCAAGAGGACCCCTTGGGGGCACCAGTTCCGGGCCCACCTGCTTCACTTCCTAGCCAGTTCCCTGTTAATGCATGTGGGAAGAAAGCTGAAGATGGCCCAAGTGCTTGTGCACCTGCCACCCACATGGGAGACCCATACAAAATTCCTAGCTCCTGGCTTTGGCCTGGCCCAGATCTGGCCATTACAGCCGTTTGGGGAGTTGACCAGCAGATGGAAGATCTCCCTATTTCTCCCTTTCTTTCTGTGACTGTATCTTTCACATAATAAATAAATCTTAAAGAAGACACTGAGCTCCCTTCTAGACAGAAGAATCTGCCCTACTCACTGCTGTATCCTCAGAAGCCGGGACCATGCCCAACACCCAATAAATGCTGGCTGAACAGAAAGTGACAGATACACCTGCACCCTAAGAATGATAGGGCACTGGTGACAGGTGGGGGGAACTCATGTCACATGAAGACAGCTGAAGGGTGTCCTGCTAATGATGAGATGGCTCCGTGACAGTGGCCATTCCTTCCAGGTTGCAGAGCTGTCAAAAGGGCTACAGGGGGCCGGCGCCGTGCTGCACTAGGTTGGTCCTTCGCCTGAGGCACTGGCATCCCATATGGGCACTGGTTCTTGTCCCAGTTGCTCCTCTTCCAGTCCAGCTCTCTGATATGACCTGGGATAGCAATAGAGGATGGCCCAAGTGCTTGGGTCCCTGCACCCACATGGGAGACTAGGAGGAAGCACCTGGCTCCTGGCTTCAGATTGGCACAGCTCCGGCTGTTGTGGCCATTTGGAGAGTGAACTCTGTCTCTCTCACTGTCTGTAAGTTTACCTGTCAAATAAATTAAAAAAAAAAAATCTTAAAAAAAAAGAGCTGCCAAGCAGGAGCCATCATTCTCTGACACTGCCTGGGGCTGCATCAAGACTACTGACGTGGTGCCGAGGGAGAGAGCAGGCCCCCCAATGAGAAGAGCACCCCATCGGTTTGCCATCTCAGTGGGCCGGCAGTAGCGGTCTGGTGGGCTGTGGTAGGAAGGCTGTTGGGCCGCACTAGGGCTGGGATGCTGATGACCTGAGGGTGATTGCCATGCCTGGTCTGCTCAAACTGGGGCCTCGCTGTGAGTCCATCTTCTCAAACATCACTCTCCTTGTCCTCCTAGCCTCACTGACCAGCTGGTAACTAGTAACGTGGGTGCATTCAGTGTGTAAGACACAGCGCTGGGGACTAGGGGGGGCAGAGCTGAGCCACACAAGAGACATCTGTCTTCCCTCGGGGCGGCTCAAATCTCTAGTAGCCGTGTGACCTTGGGCAGGTCACTTACTGGCCAGTGCCTTGGCTCCTGCAGCTGGGAAACAGGAACTCTACCTTCTGCCTGGAGGCCTGACTGTGAGGGCCACTGGGAGCTAAGGTACAGGGCCCTTGTGCCAGCTGCCACATTGCCAGTGCACCCATGCTCAGGTGACACCGCACTGGGAAGGAGGAGGGGCTGCAGCACTCGCAGGAAATGGAGAACATGTGCAGGGTTGGGGAAGTGCATGGAAGAGGCCGCCACAGCAAGTGGAGAGGAAGGCTACCGGCAGGGCCAACAGGCGCCTCCCGAGAGCAGCCCAGGCAGAGGAGCCGCTGAGCCAGGCCAGGCAGCTCCTCTGCCTTTCAGGGAAGGGCTCTGGATGGGGTGGAGCTTGGCTCCTGGCCCACCCCCTCCAGTGACAGTGGGTTGGCTCCCCAGGAAGGCAGGCAGACCGGGGCCCCTGCAGGGCTCCCATGGCAGGCACCCTCAGCTGGATACTCCCCACCCAGCCTGCCTGCTGAGGAGGCACCCCCACTCCTGACCTGATTTGCTTGCCTCTGTCGGAACTCAGGGGAGGCAGTCCCTGAACCCAGAACCTGGGCTCTATCTTCTTCACTCTCTGGGATCATTAAGAATGATCCGCTAATTATGGCTAATTATGCAGGCGGCCTAGTAAGCACTTGGTAATGCTGGGGCTGCCAGGTGCCATCGGTAGGTGGGGAGTGAGAGCAGTGGGGAGGGAGAGGGAAAGCAGAAAGAGGGAGGAAGGAGGGGAAAGAGCGGGGCAGAGAGGGGTGCCAGACAGCGCCCCCCACTGGTGGGCTGATGGTGGGGAACAGAGGAGGGCAGCAGAACCTCCACACCCACCAAGGCCCTGCTCCTCCCCAGGGGCATTCCAGCCCCTCCAGGAAGTCATGTGGACCATGTGATGAAGCAGGAGACGGGGCCAGACAGATATTTCGGGTGCTGACATCTCCCGGGAGAAAACGGGTCAGCTGGAAGGGCTGGCAGGAGTGGGCTGCAGTGGGCCGCAGGGGTCCTTGTCCCTCTCAGCCTCGTTGGGCCCCTGCCGCGGCAGCACAGGAGGAAGGAGGCCAGCTCCCAATGCTCGTGGGCTGCGAGCTCCTGCTCCATGCAAAGGGCCGACTCCAGTGCTGCACAGCGGTGGGGAGGAGATGCAGTGTCTCTTCTCTACCCTCCTCTCTCTGCAAACAGGAGGAGCACGTTTCAGGGGAGATTTGGCCCACCTGTGCGTCCATTGCTGCAGGATGGGAAGCAGGCCTGGGGACAAGGACAGGGGTCACCGCACCCCAGCCCGGCCCCATTCATCACTGCCTCCTCTCTGCCCCTCCTCCTCCTTCCTGTTCTGCCATCACGTGCTTCACTGTTCCCTCTGCTCCACCCAGCCCTGCTGCAACTCCCCTGGACTGCAGCCTCAGCCCCTCCCTGCCCTGACCACAGCCCTGGAAGCCATCGCTCCCCGCTCCCATCTGCCCTGGATGATCTCCTGAAGAGCCAAAGTCTGCTGGTCCCATCACCCCCCTGCTCTAGAAGCTGTGACCTCCTCTGTCACACTCATGCGCTGCTGCGCCTGGCCTGGCTTTCCCCCACCCCACCCCACTACCCCTGCCATGGGGCGCTGAAGCAGACATACCTGGCGGCACTCTGGGGACACAGGATCCAGGGGGAAGCCAGGCCCAGACACACAGAAGTACGTACTGCACACCTGGCCTGCAGCGAAGGAGCTCAAGGCAAGGGGCAGGCGGCAACATCTGGAAGCAAAGCACCCCCATAGGGCCGGCCTCCCCTCAGCCCGCGATGCACCTCATTCCAGACCACAGTAAGGTTCTCTCTATGCCTGTGGCCCCCAGTTGGAGGCTTCCCTGGGTGACCTGCACCTTCCTATCCCTGCCTGCTATGTCCTGTCCCTCTTATGGCCTTATCCCTGCCCTCGCCTCCAGCAGCCATCCCTGAGCACGTGCAGCAGGCATGGGGTTCCCTCTCTGGCATTCACTGCCCCCCTCTGATCACTGCCCTGTGGCCTCTGGGGAAGCCCTGTCTCCCAGGGCTCAGTCTCTGCTGGGGTGATGCCCAGGCAGTAGAGCTCCTCAGACCCAGGCCTGAGCTCCTCAGTGTGTCATAGCCCCCCACCCAGCAACTGCATCCGGGAGAGAAGTGAGGACGCAGCCAGGCCACGGGGACGAGTGTGACTTCTGGGGGAAAGGCTGCCACAGTGCACAGCTTCTCTCCTCCTGGCTCTGAACCTGACTGCACGGAGCTCTGGCTCCCATGGCTGTCACCTTGCCACTGCCCCAGCAAGTAGCCTGAGTCATCCCCTACCCCACCCCACCCCGGTGCCTGTCTGGGACTGGAGCCAACCAGAATCTGCAGGTGAGATGGAGCAAGAGCAAAACCAGGTCCCCAGGGCACCACCTGAGCCCTAGACCCCGCAGCCTGCTCTCTGGTGGTCTGTGCTTAGGTTGGCTTGGGAGGGGTTGGGGGGAGTGCCGGGTTCTGATGGACAGATGCACCGCCAAATCTCACTCCTCTCTCCTCTAGCTCCCTAGCGCCAGCACAGCTCATGCCACACAACCAAGAATCAACCCCGCCTGGCCTTTCCTGACTCTGAGCTCCTTAGAGTGGGAGATGGATGAGGAGCCTAGTGGACCCAGATTCAGCCACGTGGAGGGCTGGTGACAGTGCTCAACAAACTCACCCCTGCCAGGAGAAGGCCCTCCCACCCTCTCCTCATCCCATCCACTGGCCAGACCGCCATCTGCAAGGTACCAAACACCAAAACCTCATGCTCACCCCAGAGATAAGGGGAGCCTTCAGCCACAATCCTGGTGACACGGTGCAGCTCTACAGGAACTCACAGCACCATTCATGCCTGGCACAGGGCACGAAGTGGCCATCACCTGAGGCTGGTGGCTCTTACGGACCCGTGTCCTCTTGTGGTTGTGACCTGTGAGGCATTTAGCTCAGAAACAAGCACCAGGGGGCATCTCACACTTTCTGTAGCCACCGATAGGATGCTACAGGCAGCAGTCATATACACAGGACTGCAACAGATGAGAGCGAACACCTGCTGAGCGCTGGCTGCATGCCAGCACGTTCTCATTCAGTGTATTATTACCTGTGAGGAAGACACCTCCATCATCTCCATTTACAGAACTGAACATGGAGACTTGGGAGGGGTCACAGGATGGGCACATGGTTACAGAGCGCACAAATGGGTAGCAACGCACCTGCTCCACAGGTGACCCTGTGCCCACTCCAGGGCCATGGTCACACTCTGGGCAGGCCCGGGGCAGCCAGGTGAGGCAGTGTACATGGAAGAGCCAGAGGAGTCCAGGGGACCCAGCTGGAGACCATGGCTGCACCCAGCAGAGAGTGCCCCCACACAGATTTTACCACAAATATTATTTCCTCACATCCGCCTTCCTGATCTGCCAGACCAAGCATTACGAATCCTGTGGCACCTCCTCTCGGTGACCATTCCACAGCAGCTGGAGCCAAAAGCCATGGGCTTGAAGCCTGGCTCTGCCACCCAGCCACGTCGCTCAGCCATTGTGTGCCTCAGTTTCTTCCTCTGTAAAATGGGTGTGTAGCAGCATGAGATGAGTTAATGCTCTCAGGTGAACGGAGGCGCACAGCTAATGCAAACACTATTATAAATAGGTCTCACCGTCACGATAATGAAGTAGCTAACCATGCACTTGGATACTGCAGCCACTCTCCTGCGGGCATACCCTACCCTCTTGTTGCCGGGGGCCCCGCCTCAGTCACTGCTGTATCTGAAAACATCAGCGCAGTGCCTCACACACCAGAAGGGCTGAGCAAATCATTTCCTGACTGCAGCAAGAAGTGAAGGAACGTGGCCCCCAGTGGGAGAAACAGCACCAGACAGGAGAGCAGAGCCACGGCTGGGGCCCGTGGGACACACGTGGGACAGCTGGTAGGGAGCTCTCAGGCTCCAGGGACCAAGCATCGCCAGAGGAGCTGCGTGAGGACCCGCCACGATCATGGACAGTCCCTGAGCGGGTGAGGCGGGCAGAAGCACCCAGCTGCTGACGATGTCTGCAGACACCTTCGGCAGGTACTGCAGGGCCCCTGCCAGCTGCTGGGTGGCCTCCTCCCACCGCAGGTCCAGCTGCTGTGCTGGGCCACCGCATAGGGCTGGCCTGCCAAGGTGTGCCTGGGCCCTGATGGGACTCACGCTGGGAACCAGGGTTTGAGAAGTGCTCCATGTCACACCCACAGCCACACCCCACAGGGCCGGGCAGTGTCTCAAATCCAGCCCTCACCCTACGTGCTGTCCAGGTTCAGCCTGTGCAGAGGGTGCGTCAGGGGCTCACAGGAAACGGGATTCTGCTGCTGGCTGCTGAGCAGATGAGGGAGGGGAGTGCCAGACAAGAGGCTGGGAAACTGGCAGGCACAATGGGGAGCTCAGACGAGGCGCGGCCCTGCTGACCCCGCCATGGTGCTTGGTGCGCTGCTAGGCGCCCTTTCCATTCAGTGTCTCAGCTCCACCTCCCACACTTGGACAAACACAGAAGAAACCCTGGCTGCTGAGGCAAAGGGGGGCTGCAAGCAGAGGGATGGGGTTGGGTGGGAATCACCTGGATCACTGCTGGACGGTCCCAGACCTGAAAAGCACAGGAAATGCGGACATGGGTCTCCCTCTTGGGCCCCTGAGGAACTCGGGGCCTGGTCCTGCCATGGACTAGGCTGCAGCTAGTGGTGGTGGTGGTGTCCAGACTCTGCCCCTCCCAGCTAGAGCCAAGGGGCAGGGGGAGGAGGTGCATGTGGGGGTGGAAGACAGGAAGAAAGCATCCTTGGAATCGCACCGCGAGGGCAGAGTCTATTTATATTGGGCTTAATTAACTCTGCTCCCTGCTGCCACTAACGCAGCAATCACACTGCAGACGGCACTGATTTGATTGGCAAGAGGCACACCACGCGGAATATTAAGGATCCAGGCCCCTATAAATAGGCCTAATCCAGCCCCTCACGGGCAGACAGTGGAGAGGACATTAATCAGACCTAGCACTGTGTCCCAACCTAGCTCTGCTGGGCAACACAGTGGGGTCCTTGGTTACAATAGAGGTGTGAGTGGGGTGGGCATGAAGTGCTGTGTGACCTTAAGCAGGTAGCTTGCCTTCTCTGAATCTCTGATTCTTTTTTTTTTTTTTTTCCATTCTGCAGAGGGAACTGGCACTGCTAAGGAGAGGTTGTTCTCTGGAGCTGGCACTGTGGCATAGTAGGTTAAGCCTCCACCTGTGGCACAGGCACCTCATATGGATGCCAGTTCATGTCCCGCTGTTCCTATTCTGATCCAGCTTTCTGCTTATAGCCTGGGAAAGCAGCAGAAGATGACCCAAGCACTTGGGCCCCTGCACCCCCATGGAAGACCTAGAAGAAGCTCCTGGCTCCTGGCTTTGATTGGCTGAGCTGTGGCCATTGCAGCCATTTGGGGAGTGAATCAGCAGATGGAAGACCTTTCTCTGTGTCTCCCTATCCCTGTAACTCTGCCTCTCAAATAAATAAAATCTTTTTTTTTTATTTGACAGATAGAGTTAGTGAGAGAGAAAGAGAGAGAGAGAAAGGTCTTCCTTCCATTGGCCTTCCTTCCAAATGGCCGCAACAGCCGGCGCTGTGCTAATCTGAAGCCAGGAGCCAGGTGCTTCCTCCTGGTCTCCCATGTGGGTGCAGGGCCCCAAGCACTTGGGCCATCCTCCACTGCCTTCCTGGGCCACAGCAGAGAGCTGGACTGGAAGAGGAGCAACCGGGACAGAATCCGGCGCCCATATGGGATGCCGGTGCAACAGGCAGAGATTAACCAAGTGAGCCACGGCGCCAGCAATAAATAAAATCTTAAAAAAAAAGTGGTTGCCTATTATTATTATTGCCATATTATCACTATTGGGAAGCTGATAGAATGTCCATCCAGCGGTTCAGTTCCCCGAATGCTGCAACACCCCCAGCTGGAGCCAAAGCCAGGTGCCTCTCACAAGAGTGGCAGGACCCAATCACTCAAGCCAACACTTCTGCCTTCTAGGGTCTGCTTCAGCAGGAAGCTGGAGTCAGGAGTGAAGCTGGGAGCCAAACCCAGTTCTCTGACATGGGATGAAGGTATTAAGTGGCATCTTCACCACTAGATCAAATGCCTGCCCCTGGTAAGTTTTGTGTGTGTGTGTGTGGAAAAAAAAAAAACAAAACTTTTGAAACCCCTGAATTTTGTTGGCATAATGGGCATTTTCCTGGAACATTTTGCAGGCCCCCTTATACACACCACACAGTGTGTCATGCCTACATCCCACCCCCCCCACCCCCCGCTGCACCTGCCACTTTGCTCCTCTGACTTCTGCCCTCCTCGGGCTGGCCTGCACAGGATCTCAGAGGACAGCCCTGGTTTCTACCTCTTCCTCCAGCAGTGCGCTCCTCCTTTGCACTCAGGCATCAAGGACAGACATCCTGGGTTTCCCAGACGGAATCAGCCTTGGATTCTCCTCCAAGCCAGAAGTCACTCCTCACCTCCTCACTTTTCTTCCTAGCAAATAACCAACGTGGGACCAGCCAAACCCCATCCATTTGAAGACCCTAACCCAAGGCACCATCGTACCCATATCAAGAAATTTCCCCCCCTCCTTTGTCTTTAAGATTTTGTTTTTATTTATTTGAAAGAGAGAGCCAGAAAGAGAGAGGGAGAGGGAGAGAGAGGAGAGGGAAAGGAAGAGGGTTGGGGTGGGGGGGGAGAAAGCGAGCTTCCATCTTCTGGTTCAATCCCCAAATGGCTGCAACATCCAGGGCTGGGCTGGAATGAAGCCAGGAGTCAGGAGCTTCATCCAGGTCTCCCACATGAGCGGCAAAGCCCAAGCACTTGGGCCATCCTCTGTTGCTTTCCCAGGCACATTAGTGGGAAGCTGAATTGGAAGTGGAGTAGCTGGGACTTGAACTGGCACCCATATGGGATGCCTGCGTGGCAGGCAGTAGCTTATGAGACCACAATGCCAGCTCCGTTTTTGTCTTTCCATGGATGTAAGTTTGGCCACCCTAGCTTTGTTCTATGCTTCAGTTCTTGTATGTGTCAGACAAGGAAAACACCATCTATGCACATCTGGAAAAGAATCCCTCCTTCGTCCCCACATCTGGCCCGCGTGTGCTGGTGCGTGTACACAGTGAGAGAGCTCCATGCCTCAACAATTAAGGAGCAAATCCACTCAGACCCCAGGAGTCAAAGCACAGCTTAATGGGCTCCCCAGTCTATCTGCAAACATGGACTGACCATCTCCCTGGGCACAGGCATGACCTCAGCACTGGCCAGGGAGAGCCCCACAAACACTGCAACTGTATGTGAGAAGCGCTCTAGACCCGGCTGTGAGCACAGTGCTGAGTCGCGATCATCAGTGCTGACCCGTGCCGGGGCAGAGGGTCAGGAAAAGCCTCTTAACAGGACGCACGGCTCCCCATACCAGACCCAGGCAGAAGGAGCAGCTGGCACAGGGCACATGGGCAATGGCGAGTTCCCTGGAGTGGTGGGGGCATAAGTATCCTTGGGGCAGCAGCAAGAAAGAGAAAGGTCAAAGAGAGGCCAGATGGTGGAAAACACTGCTTACCATGGCTAAGAGTTTAGCCTTGAACCAGGAATGAAATCCTTAAACTCTAATATGGTAGCCATCAGCCACACGGGGCCTACTGAGTACTTGGATTTGGGCCTGATTGAACTGAGATGTGCTGTGAGCATAAGATACACACCAAATGTCAACAACTTAGTAGGGAAAAGAATGTAAAATGTCTTAATTTAATGTTCTTATATTGATTATATTCTTAAATGCTCTATTTTGAATCCACTGGGCTAAATAAAAATGCTATCACCAATTTCATCTGTTCCCTGTTAATTTTAAGAAGACACATTTATTTATTTATTTATTTGAGAGACAGACAAGGAGAGACACAGAGAGAGTGAGAGTGCTCTCATCCACTGGACACTTCCCCCCCACCAAATGCCCACAGGATTTCTGAAGCCAGGAGCTGGGAAGTCAACCCATGCCTCCCATGTGGGTGGCGGGAGCCCGGCCACCTGAGCCATCCCTGCTGCCTCCCCAGGTTCCGTACGATCAGGATGTTGGAGTCAGGAATCAGAGCTCAGGATGGAACCCACGCACTCTGATAGGGACTCGGGCATATTAACCACCAGGCCAAAGCCTACTTCTCTTTATACTTTTAAAATCAATGACTCACGTTTTATTTGTGTGTGTGTGTGTGTGTGCATGTCCTGTTATTCTAAAGAAATGAGTCTCTGTTCTTCTTTTGGGGCAAAAGATATCCTGAAACAGGAGCCTAAGCATCAGAATTAATCATAACATTGTCACTTTATTGCTCCTCCCCCTTATGCAGTAGCTGGTAGATGACTATCTATATGATTTATTGTTACATTTTTGTTAGTGAAAGATAACCTATGTTATTCCTCTTTCAGTAGATAATATTTCCTTATAACAATACTACTAATATTACTCATAACACTAATTCCTACCTATAATCATTGCTAGGAATATTAGCTATAATATAAATGTTAAAAGTACACTAACTCAAGTGTTAAAAGCCCCTGCACTAGGACTGCCAAACCCAGAGAAACCCTAATATCCAGAGGGGAAAAAAAAGTACACTAACTCCTAGTCACAAATTCTCATTTAATCCTTAATATCAGTGAATTTATCATCATCCCCAATGTTAGGTAAGGAAATAGGATTTTTAACAAATAACATTTTTCCAACATCAACTGCTAGCTGTGATCAAGCCCAGACCTGAGCCTCACCTGTCAGGATCCTGAGCTGGTGTTATTTATCGGTACATTTTAATGATTCTTATACATAAAAATGCAAACCTTGATGTTCAAAAATCTTGCCAGCACCAACTGGGAGACCGTTTACCTTGACATTCTGTCCTTCCATGAATCTACAGATTTGTTTTTGAGACTAAAGGAGGAACAGAGAATCAACCACGAACTGCGCCCCTCCTGAGTGGCAGACACCCTCCAGTTCCGTTAGCATGCACCATCTGGGCTCTCCACACCACAACAGGCTAGGGACTTATGCATCACTCAGTTCTTTGTATGAGAAATACATAGGTGCTATGGGTCCCTGCCACCCATGTAGGAGACCCAGATGGAGTTCCTGGCTCCAGCCTGGTTTAGCCCCAACTGTTGTAAGCTTTGGGGAGCAAACTAGTGGATGAAAGCTCTCTCTCTCAGTCTCTCTACTTTTCTCTATAATGTAAAAGTAGTATGTAGTGTGTGTGTATGTATATATATGTAGTCTTCTAAGGGATGACCATAATTCAGCCTGTCTTTGAACTTCCTGCTTATCTACTTTTATTGTTTTCTAATGCACTGCATCAATGCATAACTATTTCTAATAATGGTATTTTTCTTGTGTCTAGGCCATGCTCATCAAGATTTTTTTTCAGTTTCAAAAAACTCAACAAGAATGACCTGTATTACCGAGAGCTTGCGCAGTACACAGCGTGGCCCCAGAGAAGCAGCTGAACCCCAGGGCCTGGCCGTGAACGACTGCCCAGGGCCACAGCCCTCTCTTATCCACGGCTTCTCCTGTCCCAAGCTCTGGGCCGTTTTCTGCAAGCCCACCTAGGTCACCACGCCTGCAGGCTCTGCACTCCGCGTTACAAACCTCTGCGGCTGGCCGGCACCGGTGCCTCCGGGCACTGGCCGAGCTCGCCCTCCCGCGCCCCATGGGCCTGCGGCTCCCCAGCACGCCCGCCACTGGGTCCCAGCGCCATCAGCCGGGAGCGCTGCTGGCTGCTGCTCGTCCATGTCTACACAGAGCACACAGAGACACATACCACACCTGGCTGTGCTACTTGGCACCCCGGGGTCTAGAGCCAGAGCAGCAAGATGGGCTTCATAACGGGTCTCTACCCAAGCCACTGACAGGCGCATCCCCGACCTAACTAAACTGAGGAGGTCCTGGAAGCTGAATCACATCATGGAGATACCTAACCTCAGCCCCTTGAGCTGCCACGGGGGTAAGAAAAGCTGGCTGCTTGTGTGTGTGCGTGCAGCACGTGGCTGCTGCTTTTGCAGCCAGCTGTGCTCCGAGAGCCCCGGCTGTCCTGGCTCCCTCTCAGACAACCCGGGATCCACCAGCATTGACCTCAGAAATTCCTCGGGGAGGTGTAAAGAGACAGGGCAGGGCGTTCAGGCACCATTACAGGCAGAAAACTGGAGACAAGACCGGGAACTTAATGTGAGTTGTTCCTACTGCTGCAGCCCGTGGAGCAGCGCCCCGTCTCCCGGAAGCCACTCGCCTGACCAGCGGGAAATTTCACCAGAGGCCGTGCTTCTGGGGAAGGAAGAGAGGGATGTTCCACCCCCTAGAAATGATGCGTCTGGCTTCTCCTTCCTGGGGTTTCTAACACATTTGGATGCCTGGGTTCATACTCCAGCCAGAGAGCACTGTGGACACAAAATGCCCCCTTTGGCAGCCTTGGACTGCAGGGCTTGAGTGCTGGGGGTTTCGATTTTCCACATCACAGGACGGGGTGCAGGCAGGACAGAACGGATAGGACAGCTCCGTAGGGCCTTCGGGAGCCTTAGCACTAGGTACTAATCTTGACAGCTGTAATGGGAAGGCTCTTCAAGAAGTACATGGAAAATGATGAAAAAACTTTGCATGGTTTTCAAATATGTTTGCACCAAAGTAAGCTAATCTTTTTAAACACATTTAATTACTGATTTGAGAGACAGGCAGCACTCCCATCTGCTGGTTCACTCCTCAGACGCCCAAACGGGGAGCCAGGAACTCAACCCCACGTCTCCCACGTGGATGGCAGGGACCCAACAACTTGAGGCACCATCCTGCACCTCCTGGTGGGCATTAATGAGAAGCCGAAGTCAGGATGGAGCTGAGCCCCAAACCAAGGCACTCCAGGATGGGTTGTGTGTGTCCCAAGCACTCCTTTAACTGCCAGACCAAACACTGACAACCGTAAACATACATTTCTTTAAAAAGGTTTATTTATATAGTTGAAAGGCAGAGTTAGAGAGAAACACTACAGAGAGAGGGAGAGAAAGAGAATCTTCTATCCACTGGGTCACTTCCCAAATGGCTGCAACATCTGGGATTAGGCTAAACTGAAGCCAAGAGCCTGGAACTCCATCTGGGTCTCCCCTGTGGGTGGCAGGAACCTGAATACTTGGATCAGCCTGTACTGCTTTACCAAGCACCTTTGCAGTAAGTAAGGTGTATCAGAAGTGGAGCAGTCAGGACTGGAATCCACATTCTTATGGGATGCCAGCATCGCAGACAGTGGCTCAACCCACTGCACCACATCGTGGGTCCCAAAACTTCCCTTTTAACTCCATTCTCACACAGACATCTTGAAGGACTCTCCATTCCCAGGCATTGCCTGAGCTGCAGGTTTGAAGAAGACGAGCACAAAGAGAAAAGATAAAGGGGAGACACGCGCTTTCCCAAAACTCTCCACCAGCTCCTGTCTCTAGTTGCTTCAGGCCTGGATCACGTGACTGCTTCTAGCTGCAAGAGAGCCTTGGAAAGTAAATATTCATAGCAAAGTATGTTAGCAGCCTGAACAACGTTGAGCTTGTACTGGAGGAAATGGGAGAATGGGGGGGGGGGGGTGTTACTGTGCAGCATCTGTGAGAGGCACCTAACTAACCCTTTATGAAGACTGGGAGAATTGTTTGGAGGATTCCCATTGGATGTGACGGCAGAGGGG